GTTTAACTCATCATCAAAGGATTTAAATTAATTTAAACAACTTAAAGGTAGAGGTAGTGGGGCTTCCAATACAAAAAAAAAATGCATTACTGAATACCTACAATTTTAATCACATTTCATTAAAATATTTCAGAAAGTCCTGTAATAACTGCAGTATGTGAGGATGTGATTTTCATTATCCTTGTAATTCAGTTTTGTGCTGTAATCCTCAAAGTACTCAAAACAAACACCCCAGCCAACTTCATCCACTGCCACTTGTTTCCAAGGCCTCAATGATCTAAATTTTAACACAGCATCTTGTAATTTTATGAATCATTCTGTCTAATGGTTGGTCTCAGTTACTATATTCCCAAACATTTATTAATAGAAAACAGTTGAACAATTTCCAAAACATCATCTGTGTCCTTTTCTGTATCCTGTGGCCAAAATCCAATAGAGAAAACTTTCATCTGTCCCGTATAATGACATATCCTTCCATTCAAGATATATATGACTAACACAAGTCTTCAACTCGTCTTTCTCACCATCACTGTACACTAATGTATCAGCTGGTGCATATTATCCATAGAATTGTCACTGTCTGAAACGAATGAACGTTGTTCTGAATCAATTGTCTGAACTTTCAGCAATGTAGATTCTAAAGGGATGTGACACTCAGGATTACTGAGTTTCTGACTTTGTCCACTGTCTGGTATGCTAGAAAGCCCAAAATAACAGTGTTTTGGAAACTGGATCTGTTTTTATCCTCAGGTAAGGGGTGGGAGACACCTACTGTTGGATTGGTTTGAAAGATTTAAACTCAATAACTAATTAGTGGCTGAGTATTAGCTCTTTCTACTGAACCCCCTCACATGAGGTCAGAAACATCCAGTTTCCAAAACACTGTGTTATTTTGTGTTTTTTATATTATCAGATGATGGGCAAACTCCAAAAACCCAGTAATACTATGTCTGAGTCATGTGTTACTCTGATGGCACACCTAATCTCCTCCACCTACTAGCAGTTCCTATACCTTTCAGTTTCAGAAAAAAATACATAAATTATCTTGGTCTTCAAATAGCCTTACATTCAGTACATGGAAGGAAACAGTTGTACCGAAATGCTATTTATTCTTGGAATGAATAAAGAATATCAAGTCAAGCCTGTAACAAAGATCAGCCACTGTGAATATTTGTGATGACAAATCAAAACAGAATCTCTTCACATATACAGCATTACAAGATCCTGTAAACCTGTTTGCACTAGCAATATGAGAAAGTTCCACCACATTTCTAACATAACCTATATCTACTGTTCTTGGTGCATTCAGTTGCAGATATCTCTCAACCGGGTGAAGTATCAATCGTGCTAAAGCACCTGATGACAAGATAGGAAACCTGCGAAATAATGACAGAATTATAACTTTCCACCCATAGTTACTAATTATGAAAGTTATAAAATGTTCAGTTTTTACTCTCCAAACATATATAGACATTTCCTGATTATCTTAAAATTAATCATGCAAACAATATTCAAACTTAAGAGCATTACTGAGTATGTCTGATACCATCCAGGAGTTAAAAGATAATGTTTTCTGGGTCATTCAAATATATAGGCAGAACTGAAAATTTCATACAACATACAAATCTAATAAAGGAACCAAAAATTGTGGCTTAGACCAAAGATCGGTTAATACTGTGTTTGTGTAGAAAATATTTACATACTGAACTACAAGGTGATCTCCAGTGGGGAACAATTTTTCATTTAATCATATACAGCAGGGGTCTCCAAACTTTTCGAAACGTGGGCCACATTAGGTAATTCAGCACTTTCAACAGGCTGGATAAAATGAGAAATTAATAACTCTAGGTATATGAGTTTTATTGAAAGCACATAATTTCATAAACTAAATACAAAGCAAGTGAGAATAAATTCTCGTACATTAATGACAACAGACAGTAGCAGCAAATGCTCATATTTCCTTCACAAATTATAATAAAACAATTAATGTGAATGATGGAACTCTTTTTGCATTCTTAAAATCTGATTAAATTGAGGTTCAAATTTTGAAACGCTAATCACAAGTAGTGACTTTAAATGTTCATCGGATAAATTTGCCCTGTATTTCGACTTGATGTACTTCATCTGGGGAAAAGCTTGTTCACACAGATATGTAGTCCCAAAAATGGAGAAAAATTTACAAGCAAATTTCTTTAAATTTGGAAATTGCTCAGAGTTCAGAAATTTATAAAATTCGATAAAATTTCCTTCCTTGTATTTGTCTTTAATATGATAATTTTCCTGAAGTTNTTTTTATGCAACTGTGCAGAATATAGCATATGAACAAAGTTACAATTTTTCACTTGGCTTTCCAGAAGTATCAACTTTGCTCTGAGAAAAACTAGGCATAAGTTGCCTTTAATATGAAAATGGTAATAGGTACGACAGCGGTGGTGGTGATGATCTGTTACAATTACATTGCACCACTGCAAGAAGTCTTCTGCACAAGACGGCTAGTAACGAACTTCTTGCGCTGCCTACATTGCGACGAAGTGACACTGCCGAAGAAGTACGAAGAAATACCGTGCAGTATACGGTCCAGAATTAGTAAAATTGTGAATAATATTAATATTAACATAATATGGAATATCAATATATTTTAAACAATCTTAATTAATGAATTTGAAATCTAAGAACAAGTATTTTTTTTACCAGTACTCATTGCAAAATTAGTTCAAATGGCGCATTTCTGCACAATTCTTTCACGGGCCGGATAAAATCACATCGCGGGCCGGATGTGGCCCACGGGCCGTAGTTTGGAGACCCTTGATATATACAGCAACACTACATTTGCATCCTTTTTCACACAAAACACAAAATGTGAATAGATGAAGATATATATTTCCATTATGGCATGAATTCTATTGACGGTAATACAAAATATTGAATGAATACCTGTAACTCCTCTCTCTGCATACGGGCATACTCTTCTCTTGCTCTGGATGCAGCTGTATCCTGGAACAATGAACCCTGGTTCTGATGGAAGAACTGCTCATATTTATCATAACCAAGGCAAGGATAGACACAATGGTAGTTCCCCAAATGGGACTCTTCCCAGGCACTGTGACCTTTCCAATGATCTTGAGGACTTGATCCAGAACTTGCAGCAGCATTATTCCTTTGTTCACTATGGACATCAGATGGTTCATGCATTATTTAAGAATCCCATACATTTATTTATTTATGGTTTACTTAACAACAACCACAGTAGCTCAGACTATCTATCTATGGCTCTATAGCACTTTGTTGGTCCTTGGCTGCTTTTTCATTTTCTTAATCCTACACACATTTGGTATGACTCCTTGGATGGGGGATCAGCCCGTCACAAGGCTGCTACCTACACACAGAACAACACAAACACAGAATAGATGCACACTGACATCCATGTTTTCAGTGGGATTCGAACCCATGATCCTAGTAAGATTTGAGGTTTTCACGGCGGTGACTATGAAGAAAGCAGTCTTCTGGGATTTGGCACCGTGTATATGTGGTGTTAACCGACGTTTCGGAGGAATGTATCGCCTCCATCTTCNACAGCCATGGCCTAATTTGAGTCAGTATCATGGCATTTGCCTTGAGGAAATGAAAAGGGACAAGCTGAGCCCAGATATCCAGTTTCCATGCCAAGATCTGTACCCTGGACTCAACTACTGAATCTATATAATATATAAGCTTAGTAATAATGAACTTAAAATACTGTGTCACATAGACCTATTGCTAGGCAACACCAACAATACAGAAGCGGTGTTTTCTGTGGTCCATGTATGGACCGTTACTATGCAACGCAAGCTAAACACATTCTCAGATATGCTGTGATGTCACAGCAGGTTTGTGTGTTCTGTGCTGCAACTATATAAGGGAGACAGTTTGAAGGAACAACAGAGTCAAGAGAATGGGAAATCTGCCTGTGAAGATTTTGTGTATGATTAGAAGATATAGCCACAGTGAGACTGTTTTAATTCTGTTACCAGGGTATGACTAGTGAAGACTCAGAATCTTAGTGTGTAACGGTGAACTGTGAATTGTGCAAATCAGTGAGAATGCTGAATTGCTTATATCAGTTAATTGTATAAGGTGTTAATAAAGCTATTCATCAACTCAAACCCCATCTATAGTCACTAATACATGTAACAATACTGTGACATGTCAACACAGTGCCAGGTAACGGTTCGATAAGCATCCCACAATACATGCATGCAACAATAGAACAAAGGGGTTATGCAACCTGTTTCTAGGTAATGAATCGGTAAACACACTTCCACGTAAGCGGTGACATCACACAAACAGTGGGTAGTAAACAGGTAATGTGTTTTCTGTACGTTTATAGGGGACAACAAAGGCCAAGAAGGAATGATCGGTAAGTGTGTGTGTGTGTGTGTCTCTCTCTCTCGTCTCAATTCTGAGATAGTAAATTATGGTTGCGAGTCCCAAGGGACTCGGACCCGAGAAAGACTGCGCTGACAAGAGCCAGCAGCATACTTGTATACAAAAGACAGACCTGTCCTCTCGTCAGAGAAGGCGCCCCACAGGAACAAGACCGTAACTGTCAAACGATAATAATTAATATCTGGTCATGAGCCTGACTTACTGACTGACTGACCGTCAGTCGCAATGTAACTCTGACTCTGACTCTGACTTGCAGGTAGTCATAAGCTGGAGGAGTGAGCAGTAAGCTTGAGGAGTCAAGGAGAGTTTTTAGTTGACTTCTGAGGTTCCAGGGCGATTGAACAAGAAGTGGCAAGAAGATTTTATAGTGAATTGAAGCACTAGTTTCTGCCAGGAGATGAACAGTAAAGATGGAGAAGCCTAGGGCATGTGAAATGGTGAACTGTAAACTGTGTAAATCAGCGATAGCGCTGTAATAAATGTGATGAAGCGAACTTGTAACTGAATTGCTAATAAATCCTATCATATGATCTAGAACCAATTATTTTTGTCAGGCATACTCCCCTACGCGTGACAATGAAACGAGTAGCAAGGGAATGGAAGAATCATCACTATAGCTTGATTCACCACAGACTGAACTCTCAATGGCTAGACCTGAAATCTGAGTCAATTTGTTTGAAGTCTATTAGATTCAAAATGCATAACTGCTACAAGTGAGTAAAACATGTTTAAGCAAAAAAAAAACCATTAAGTGCAGTATTAAGATGGACTGTGAAGACAGAATGACTCTTTCAGTTGCAGCTGTCTAAATAATATGCAACAGACATTATATATATATTAAATATACATGTTATTTATTTAAAGAGTAAATAAAGCCCCATACAACTTCCAGTAAAACAGTTTACTTAATCTGACAATTGCATCACAGTTTTTTGATGCCCTAAGAGGTTATTATTATACCGTTTACAGTGGCAGCCTGTGACTGGCTGAACAGGGAGGGCTTAAACCCGTGATTTTCAACCAATGTGCCACGGCACGCTAGTATGACATGAAGGGTCAACAGGTGTGCTGCAGGAGTTCAGGGGAAGGTCAAAAAGAAGCAAGGAAAAAATTGCGGAATAAAAAAAATCGGTAATTTTTAGAAGTACTGTATATTTTTCATAAAAGGCCAATTAGAGTGAAAACACAACAGTTTAATAAAATTTATTATAGTAAAATTCCAAGTGTTTCCTGATACCAAAATAACTCTTCAATGTACTTTTACTACCACATTTTTCACCCTTGTGAAGCCACCATTGTCAGTCTTAGTCGGTTGCTGTTTGGATAGGGTGCATTGTGGTGAGAAACTGGCAAACCAAGGTATGGTTCCAAGTAAGCTGAAAAGACACTTTTACACAAAGCACTCAAATTTATGAGAAACCAGCTGAATGTTTTAAAAGGCTTATAGCTGATAAAACACCCACTATGGCCCTGGGGTCAACTCAACCTCTAACAGAAATGAGTACCAGGAATTAATTAAATAATTTTCCTGGGGAGTAAAGCACAGCTCGTGCGTAAGGCTGACAACCTCACCACAATCTTTGAGCTGATCGTCTAGATAATGTGGCACCCTAAATGTCTCACAACCCTATGGGCCTTCACAGCCTGGTACAGGGATAGCATTACTTCTACTTTTTTATAGTCAACAAAACATGCCAGACTAAACAGCGGACCAAAACCACAACTATTTCTGACAAAGCTCAAGAAACAAGCTATGTCATTGCTGAAATCATGGCAAAAAAGATGAAATCACATACAACTGCTGAGTCAGTAACTGTACCAACATGCTGTAAAACTGTAAATATTATGTTTGGAGAGGAATATGAAAAAGATATTTTAAAAATCCCCATGTCAGATAACATTATTAGTTAGTAATTACGTGGTGCGTTCAAATTCTAAGGTCTCCAATTTTTTTCTCGCACAATAATCATACAAAAAATTTGAAACTTCTCTCACTTTTCAACATAATCTCCCTGCAGCCATACACATTTTTCACAACGTCGACGCCATGATTCCATGGCTGCTGCAAACGCCTCTGCAGTAGTCTGTTTTGACCACTGGAAAATCGCTGATGCAATAGCGGCATGACTGGTGAATGTGCGACCACGGAGAGTGTCTTTCATCATTGAGAAAAGCCAAAAATCGCTAGGAGCCAGATCATGTGAGTAGGGAGCATGAAAAACCACTTCAAGGTTTTCACGAAGAAACTGCTGCATCGCGTACGCCCGATGCGCTGGTGCATTGTCCTGGTGAAAGAGCACACGTGCAGCCTTTTCTGGCCCTTTTTCTTGCAGTGCTGGAAGGAACTTGTTCCTCAAAATATCTTGGTAGGATGCACCTGTCACTGTAGTGCCCTTTGGAACGCCATGTGTAAGGATTATGCCATCGCTGTCCCAAAACTTGGCCACCATCATTTGTTCAGCACTGGCGCTTACCCGAAATTTTTTGGTGGCGGTGAGTCTGTGTGCTTCCATTGAGCTGACTGGCGCTTCATTTCAGGATTGAAAAACGGCATCCATGTCTCATCCATTGTCACAATTGATGAAAAGAAAGTCCCATTCATGCCTTCATCACGTGTCAACATTGCCTGGCAAATTGCCATGCACGCAGCCTTGTGGTCATCCGCCAGCATTCGTAGCACCCACCTGGAGGACACTTTCCGCATTCGCAGGTCTTCATGCAGGATTGTATGCACAGATCCCACGGAAATGCCAACTATGGAGGCGATGTTTTCCACACTCAATTGGCAATCCTCCAAAACAACTTTCTCAACTCGCTCGACCATGTTATCAGACTGGCTGGTGCGAGGCCGAGATTGTTTTCGTTCGTTGTCACATGATGTTCGGCCTTCTTTGAACTGTCACACCCACAAACGCACATTTTTCACATTCATGACACCATCACCACATGACTCACTCAACTGGTGATGAATTTCAATGGGTGTGGCACCACGCAAGTGGAGAAAACGAAAATTATTCACTGTTCTTGAAACGAAAACGTCGCCATTTTAGGTATCAAAAACACTCCTCACTCTCGCCGCTACCACTAGAGTTCTGTGTGCCATACAGTATTTTTAACTAAACTACACAGCTCACAATAACCGAACCCCGGCATTCCTCTAACGCACTCACTCATCAATCAACTACTCTTTACTCAGTAAACTCCACTAACTTACCCTGCTTATAACATCTCGGCACAGATCACACAGACAACACTGCTACTCTGTTGCAGTTTACATGTTGTTGCCTAGTAGTTAGTTAGTTATTGGAGAGGGTGGGTTTCCCCATGCACTGAGACCTGTCTTGGTCCACTGTGCTTCCCTCTATGATTTCTACCAGTCCATCTACCATCAGTCCCGCCCAGCCAGCGAGACCGGCTCTACTAGCTGAGAGGTATCTATAATGCTTCCCCCATCTATCAGAGGCGTTAGAGACTATTGTTTGGCGGGAAACGTCCTTGAAATTGGCTCAGTGACCTCCCTTGGAGATATGAGGTTCTTTTACATGCCGTAAAGCTACGACACGGGACCCACGGCTTAAAGTCCCTCCCAGAGGACTTGTTCTCTGAATTTTTCTGCCCTTAAAAATTCCACGACCTCCGCCAGGTATTTGAACCCGCGTACTACGAGTCATGAGGTGGGAACATTACCTCTAGACTACGGAGGCCACTTTTGTTGCCTAGTAACAGCTGTTGTCTAGATTTTTGTTTGACGGTCGTTGCCTAGCAGCAGGTCTACATGCCACAATATTAAAATATGAAAATAAAGTAGCTCACAAAGTAAAATAACGTTAATGGGCTGTATATCATTTCCACTGACATGAAAATACAGAACCCAATACACAAGTTACAATAAGAGATAATTAAATTTGGGTCACCTACTGTAAGTGGATGTCTGCAATTTACGGGACCTAGAAATCCAATGGGAACATTCACTCACATTTCCTTGTGATTAATGCCTTGCAGCAGTCTTTCACGGACTCTTCGTCGGTCCTCCTCTAATACTTTCCTTTTGTCAGACTGTTTAAGGTTCAGGATAATAAACGTATCTTTAAGAAGACTCTCTTTTACATCACAGTCAATCTGAGCATCTATATGGAAGCTTGGAGAATGATTTACCTGGAACAATCATTATAAATTCCCATGCTGTAATAATAAAACTGACTTCTGTGTACAATGAAGGGCAAAAGAGGTAGCCTATGGTCTACATCACTGATCCCTTTCAGGCCTGGCCATTTGAATAAAAATAATTCTAAGACTGTAATCTTTTTCACATATATTTTTTTCCCATTTTAACCTTCAGTACTTACAGCTACATAAATCCATTTTACAACACATCGCTGTCCAAAAAGTATCCGACTTTATTTTTTCCCGCTGTTAAGTAATGGCCAAAAGGGGTGGGGAAACTGAGCGTAGTGGTAGAAGGGACTTTCATGTGCATGCGTGAATTTTTGCTGACCCGCAACACCGCCGGATGCATCTGTGGCTGCCAGATAGCAAAGTGGTGTAACAAGTGTTTGTCACATTCTCATTTCGCTCAAGATGACAGAATGCTTGGAGCAGCGATACTGCATCAAGTATTGTCAGAAACTTGGAGATACCCAAGCGGAAACAATTTGCAAAATTCAGCAGGCTTTCGGTGATGATGCAATGGGGGTCACTCAAATTAAAGAGTGGTTCAACCACTTTAAAGATGGCTGTATGTCAGCGGACAGTGACCAGCGTTCCAGGAGACTGTCAATGAGCCAATATGCTGATGTCATTGAAAAAATGCGGACACTGATCATGGAGGACTGTCATTTGACCATCTGCAAAGTTGCTGATGAGGTTGGGATCAGCAGAGGTTCCGCAAACACAATTTTAACTGAGGATTTGGGCATGCGAAGAGTGGCGGCAAAATCTGTGCCCAAGCTGCTTTTGCCGGAGCAGCAACAACTCCATCTTGAGGTCATGCAGGACATGCTGGAGTGCGCCAACATAGATCCTGAGTTCCTGAAGACTGTGATCACTGGTGATGAGTCATGGGGGTACGGATATGACTCAGAATCCAAGGTCCAGGCATCACAATGGTAGCATCCAACATCTCAGAGGCCCCAAAAAGCACGACTGGTTCAGAGCAATGTGAAGGTGATACTGACTGTCTTTTTCGATTACTGGGGTGTTGTGCATCATGAGTACACATCACTAGGCCAAACTGTCAATAAGGAGTACTACCAAGAAGTCCTCTGCCATCTTCATGATGCAAGAGATCGGAGCTGTGGGACGCACGCAACTGGCAGCTGCATCATGACAATGCTCCAGCTTATTCATCGCACCTGATCCAGGGTTTCCTGGCCAAGCACGGCATTCTGCAGGTTTGCCAGGCTCCCTACTCTCCTGACATGGATCCTTGTGATTTCTGGCTGTTCCAAAGATTGAAGACACTGCTAAAAGGCTCCTGTTTTGACAGCCATGAGGACATCATGCAGAACGTGACGGCGCAGCTGCATGCCTTTCCAAAAGAAGCCCTCCAGAATTGCTTCCAGTGATGGAAGGACTCCTGGGCTAAGTGTGTGGAGTCACAGGGGACCTACATTGTATGGGATTACGTATTATAACCACCGAGATACAGACCTTTATTTTCCCAGCCCAAGGTCGGATACTTTTTGGACAGAGTAGTATGTCACTAACAACTTATATATAATATTCTACTCTTCAAAAGCCAGTCACTATCTTCTAGCTTAAATTTTCTGCTTATTGAAACAACTGAAACTGCAAAATTACAAGAATATCACATGCTACATAAAGGCATAAATCAAGACCATGGTTGTGAGATTTATGTGAGGACATATAAAAATTATTTCTGATGGAATCTATTACTGTCTACTTTATTGATCCACAAAAGTAAATTTTTTTTTCTGATAATCTTAATTGGACACCATAAGGGTTTAATCAGTAACAACATTTATCTCAAGTTCTTCATGCATGAAACATATTAATATTTCAAAACAAAAACAAAGAATCCATAAATTACATGACCGGATGAATTATGACAACAAAATATGTAGTACAGTACCTCTAATAGATATGGTTTAAGTCTGTAGTCTAATAAGATGTCAAATCCCAAGAGTTCAAAGCAGGCATATGTAAAGTCGTGTGCTGGGAAGCATGCATGATAGCTATGTTTTAGGACAGGATGAGCGGCAACTAATGTCTTTACAATTACATCATCGATGTTTGACCACATCTCTTGAACATCATAATTCTTCTTCAACAACCAGTTAGTGAGTGTTGATATTTTCCTGGTAAAAAGAAGTAAAAATAAATAAAGAAATAAACACATTTCAATTACATTATTCCATGTGTCTCCTATTTACTTGTGTAATATACAGTAAAACCTCACTAATTTGAAATTTGTGGGGTGCAAATAAATTGGATACATCAAGCCTCCTCTTAATGAGGTTTGCTCCTTGTATCAATGAAAGTACTGAAGATAGAACATGCTTTGAAACATCTCATTATGATGTTCATGTATTTTAATAAATAAATTGTGCATATACAAAAATAAACAAGGATATTAGGAAATATGTATAACAATGCATAGAAAGTAATGTGATACACAATACCATTATTGTGTTCCTATATTTTTGTTTCTGCTATCAAATGAAAAGTTTAAAAGTAGTCCAGACATGGGATACCTGAGAAATATATTAACATAAGACTTATTCTAAACCATGTGTCAGAGTAAATGAATACAATAAAGAAGGAAGCTTGCATTCATAAGTATATTTCAAGAAAGAATTCTCAGTTTTCAAAATGTGACCAGTTTTATAAATGGGTCAAAACAGTTATGATATCATATAATAGCACTTATCTGAATTAATTGTTTAAAACTGCTGAATTAAACTGATGAGAAAAAAAAGTCATATAACAAATCATACACAAACTTAAAATCTTTAATATCTTAATTTGTACTTCTTACACAAGGAAAAGACATTTAATTTTTACATTTTAACACTAAATGCTCTATTTACAAAACATCCATCACCTTTTAATAATGATACCCTTAAACTGATAGCAACCATTAATCCAATGTATGGATTTGAAAGTAATTAAGAAATCAGGTAATTTTCAATTATCCTTGGAATTTTATTTTCACTTGTCATTCAGTTCAGAGGTGGCAGAGAGATAGCCTTTCTGTACCATTCTGATGGTCCCAGATGTTGTTTAGTTCTCTTTGTTTCTCTTTGCTTCTATTCTATGATTTGAACATGATTTGATCTATGAACATGACAAACCTTAAGTCTCAGTGCAGACTGAAAAGGTCACCACACACAGCAGTAGGTCATTTAAATGCTTCCACACAGGGTTAATATGACAGGTTACCCATTACACAAAATTAAAATGACAATGCACAAATCAATTTATTTTCCAAACCTTCCTGATAATGGTATAGGTTTACTCAGTCTCCAGATATTGTCTATTGTCTAGTAAACCTTAAAAGAACAAGTTCTGTTAGTGGATGCTTCTGTCCTCTAGTGAAATGGTGGGGAAGCTCTTGCTGAGCTAGGTCCATTAGAAAAATTAACCTCAATCGCTGTAACTGAAATCTACTCTTTCTAATGCACTAAGTAGAGTAGATACCTCCACAATGTTTAAATAGAGGATGTAAAAAGATCCAGTCTTTCAAATGTCATGTTCTGTTCAGAATACTAGATGAATAAAGTCTACGAAACCCACTAATCATAACCCAATTTTTCTTCCACTTTTATGGATTTTACTGTGTTCCATCCCAAAAGCTGACAGTAAGTATTTACACTTATACATGAGCCTTTACATTCTCATTACTCAATTTGAATAAAGTGCTTAAAATGTTCATGAATCCAGCAGCAACATACCTTTTACTGCCAGCTTCATCATCCACAATGTAAGTGTGGCTGTGTTTGTTGACAGAATAATTAGTAAGGTGCATGAACACATTGCTAGTGTTGGTGACAGTTGGTTCTTGGTATCGGCTTGTGGCTAACCTTTTAGTAAATACAGAAACATAACAGAAAGACGTATATTTTTTCCAGAAATATTACATCATGACATAAATTGTGATATTTTATGCTGATTCATGAAACTCCTAAATAAATACACGACTAATACATGGTTACTGAAATGCACTGTCCCACGCCAGAAACCGCACTTTTTGGAAAACAATTTCCACATTCCTTCATTAATTTATACAGAATACGCATACATATGTTCATAATAACTGATATTTACTTATGCATAGCTCCAGTGATAAATTACAAAGTATGATGATAAATGGAACAGAATGAACAGAAAAGAGAACAGCAAAATTATTTCAGCTAGTCACAGCAGCCCATAATGGCTTCAGACAACTTAAGAAAAGAAAGGGCAAATGTATTCTTGGGGCAGTAGTGAGCATATGCATTTCATTTATGCATGACTTAGCTGTCTATTGTCTAGGTCTTAATGAGAATTAAATTCAGAAATGGCATTACTCCCGTAACACACACATCATATACTGGGTTTCAACAAATATCTGAAAGGAATCTAGAGATGTACAGGCTTAAATTATAGAATTCACATCATCTGTATTACAACATTCACCCTCTTAATCACAACCAGCATTTCTAACTACACTTAAACATACGAAGGGGGACCCAAAAATAACCGGAAACGACCTGTTGCGCGCGCATGCTTTGTAGTTACGAGTTGTGCTGCTAGGTGGTGTTAGCTGGGGGTCTCCCGTGACTGTTAGTGAGCTGGCGTCAGTCTGAGTTAAGTGGTTTGTCTGTGGTGCTCTGTTGTGTGCGTTCCTGTTTCAACCCTTTGGCGATTAGTGAGATGGCCGACCAGAAGGAACAA